CCCCCCCTGCCATCTGAACGTGGTGTTTCTTCCTGGTTTTGAGGACATGTGCAGTTGCTCTGAATGGTGTGAGTGATGAATGTTCGGAGGCGGGAGCCCTCTCGTGGAGTTTAAGTTGTCCCTTTGTTCTACAGAAGGCTGGTCCAGGCCCCCATATGGAGCTTTCTGGGAGGCAGCCCTAGACCTTGAGACCAGTCACTTATGGCTCAGCAACCCCTCCTTCCCCAGCCCTCCTGGCAGTGTTGGGGAGGCTGATGCAGTCTCTGAGCAGATGGCTGGGTGTGAGGAAGAGAAGCGTGGACGGAGGATGGGGACCCAAGGATAATTTGCCAGTGGGAGAAATGAGAGTTCTCAGGAAGATGACCCCAAGCCCTCCGTGGCCTCTTTCCCTTGCTGGGGGACAGATGACCCTGGGTCGCCAACCCAGTTTCTGGAGATAAATCCCAGGTGTCTGTATTTAGCTAACTGTAAATGTACCTTTCTGTAAATTGTAATACCTTTAAGATCTGTGGTTTTCTTAAACTCCTTATCGTATAAGAAATTGAACAGTGGGCTCTGACTGGGAAAAGGGCCTGTGGGTAAGGTCAGCTTGGTTAATCCTTTAGGTTCCTGGGGACATCTGGAGGGACATGCTGGCAGCCTGATCTGGCCTTTCTCCCCACACAGCTTGTAGCCTCATGGGGGAACGCTTGGATACCAAGCAACGGGGTAGCTGGATCCCTTTTTCTCACTTTGCAGACTGATGTCCCTAGAAACCTCCAAAGCTGATTAGCTGCCTGGTTTTCTCCTTTGGTAATAACTCCCTGCCCACGTGCCGCAGGCACTGCAGATGTTGTGTGACATGGGAGTGTGCCTTGCTGAAAAGGTGTGAGAAACCCTTTGGAGCCCTCTACTTCTGCCTGTTCCACAGAGGCTGATGGGGAGGGTCTGCTAAGCACTCCTCCCAGACACAAGCTACCCAGTGGACTAACCCTGTAAGGCAGTCAGGGGCTCAGGTCTGGGCGGGGCCTGCTTTGCCTATCAGTTCTCTGTGGCTGGGAGTGGTCCCACTCTATCCCACTGGGCTCAGACACTGCAGTTGAACACCATCTAACCAGGGTGACTAACCTACAGACTGGTTTCTTGGGGGTTTCAGTTCCACGTATCTCCCTTTTAGAATGGAGTGGCTCGGATCCTGAGAATGCTGGTTCTTCTAGCGTGTCTGGTTCACTGCCTGACACATGCTTTCTAGTTTGGAGGCTGAAGATTGTTACAGTGAGACCCTGGACAAGTTAACATCTCCATGGCCCTGTCCACTCATTTGTGAACTGTGCATAGTCCTGCTTTGTGGGATAGTTGTGAGAACCAACACTCCCACACTTTGCCTGGCACATAGGAAGCTCTCAGTAGCGGGAACTAGTACTTGATTCATCATTTAAAGGACATTTCACTGACATGGCCAGCGAAAGCAATCTGCCTGGATCAGCTCCCAGCCCCTAGCTTTCTCCCTCGCTGGGATTCAGTTTAGGAGTACTCCAGGGAAATCTATCAGGGGTGGAATAATTAGAGCTCAAGTGCAACTGGTTCTGTTTGAACCCCTTCCTGGGAGGGCCTGGGAACTCTCCCAAGTTTCTGGGCATGAATTGAAGCTGGGCTTGGCTGCGAAACCTCCTTCCATCCTGATGGAGGGGCTCCCTGGAAGATTATGTGAGCCTCTTGACCTCCATGGGAATTTTGCATTGACTCACACCTGTTGAGGTCTGTGTGCCTCGATGACTCCAAAGAGAGGTGGAATCTCTATAGGGAGGGGGAGGTGTTGGGGAAAAGCATCCCCAGCTCCCCACAGGCAAAATCCTTTTGTCTCTGCCCCACTTCCTGCTTCAGTTTGTGGCCTCTGGCCCCTGCCCCTACTTCCTGCTTCAGTTTGTGGCCTCTGGCCCCTGCCCCTACTTCCTGCTTCAGTTTGTGGCCTCTGGCCCTCGGAGAATTGGAATGAGGAGCTATATGATCTCGGGAAGGACTTCATGAACTTTACTGTGACTGTGAATCATTTGAGTGTCTTGACACTACTCAGTTTTTGAATCAGTAGGTCTAGGCCAAGGCCTGGGGTTCTGCATGTCTAACAAGTCTCAGGTGATGCTGGTCCACAGGTGATAGAGGATTGACCACACACATGTAATTGCCAGTTAGGGGTCTTTGGTTCAACCACTTGGGCTTCAGGTTCAAGGTGCGATTGAACCCTTGCTTTGTCATTCATTGATCATTCTTGAGCCTAAGAGCCCTCATCTGAAAGAATGGGCATAATCCTGTCGGCCTGTGAGGCTGCTGGAGGGTTAAATAAGGTGATGGATGTAAAAGCACATGGCCAGGGAGTGGCATTTAGGAAATGCTGAATAAGTGTTATTGTCATTAAGTTTGTTGTTATTGGTTGTGTTAGGCATTAACTACTACACTAGGATTTAGTCCAGCCTGTCAAAATTCTGGCAAAGTACTCAGAGAACCAGGATTGGGCCCCGCCCAGTCTGAGGCTTAGGAGTGGATATGCCAGTGAGTGGTAAATCTCAAGATATGGGAACAACCTAAATGTCCTCTGATGGAGAAATAGGCAAAGAAAATGTGGTACACAAACACAAATAGTATTAATGAGTCATAAAAAAGAAGAAAATCCTGCCACTTGTGACAATATGGATACATCAGTGGGGGGGGCAGGCATTATGCTAAGTGAAATAGAACAGAGAGTAAAAAGACCAATACTGTACAGTATCACTTATATGTAGAATCATTAAAAAAAGAAAAGAAAAGAAAGGAAAGCTGATTTTCAGAGAATGGACAAACAGATACCAGCTGGGTAGGCTTTGGCCCTGGCCCTACTAGCCACTCTATAGAAGCCCTACTGTGTGACTTTGGGCAAGTCACTTAACCTCTCTGAGTCTCAATTTCCTCATCTTTAAAATAAAGGAAATAATACTAAGAGGAGTGGGTGCAGATCTTCAATGATAGTATGCAAAAAGAATTTCTCATGGTGTAGGTAAAGAATACATGAAGTGTTCCCTGGGCCTCTCCGGTGGCCTAAGGGTTAAGTTTCTGCCCTATCACAGATAAGGCCTGAGTTCCATTCCCCCCACCCCCCACACTCCTGCAGCAGATCTCTCCTATCTCACCCACTGCTTTCCCTCAGCAGTGTATTTCAGTCAATCCACCTGTTCTGCTCCCCACTCTGTCTCTGGTGAATCCTCACACTCCTCCCCGGACACATCTAGCTTACACGCCAGTTCTTCTATTGTCTCCACTTCAGTCAGTCAAATATTTCTTGGGCCCTGGATTGTCCACTTCTAAAGTGCCATTCTTAGCCTTAGGGAGGAGGGCAGTTTAACCATCTACTCTAGAATCCTTTTTCAGGAGGAAGAGCTGCAGTTGTGTGGATCTGTGTACAGTGTCTCATCATCACAGTTGTGTGGAACCAGGTCTGGGTGGGGTCCGGAGAACTATGGACTGGAGCAACTGACTTAGGGGCCTTAGTGTGTGTAGGGAA